CGCTGACCACGGGTTGAGGAAGGAGTCTTAGGGAATCGAACACCAGCCCCGTCCCTGCCCCATGGCTGCTCTTGCCTCCTCCCTGCTCTTCTCCTCCCCCACTTAGCCTCTTTCCCAGGCGTGGAGAGCATCCAGGCCCGGGGCGGCTGTCTCTGTTCCTTCCAGGGAAAGACTCGGGGTCATGCCACATGCCTGGGTCTTCCCTTGCAGGATGCTGCCCAGGAACTGCCAGATGCTGCTTTTCTCTGCCACCTTTGAAGACTCTGTGTGGAAATTTGCCCAGAAAGTGGTCCCAGACCCAAACATTATCAAACTGAAGCGCGAGGAGGAGACCTTGGACACCATCAAGCAGTATTACGTCCTGTGCAATAACAGAGATGAGAAGTTCCAGGCCTTGTGTAACCTGTATGGGGCCATCACCATTGCTCAGGCCATGATCTTCTGCCATGTGAGTAGCAGTGGCAGCAGCAGGCCTGCGGGGGGAGGAGCTCCACTGGAGGGTGTGTGTGGCCCTCCCTCTCAGCCCGCTTCACCTCAGTGCTGAGGAGGACTGGGTGTCCTTGTGACCGGAAAGAAACGGTTTGTGAAGTTATAATATACAGTTTCTTCTTCATATCCTGAATTATACTTGGCTTCAAAATAGAGTCCCTAGGAGTGCCTGGCGGCTTAATCGGTAAAACATTCAACTATTGATCATAGGGTTGTGAGTTCAAGCCCCACCTTTGGTCTACAGCTTACTTAAAAAGTAAAGACCCTATTATTTATAGTTGATATATTATTAGAAAACCCAAGAGAATCAATTGATATTTATAGGAAAAATAAGAAACTAAACAAGTTGGCTAGTTCCAAAACCAATATAAGTTGATTTCCAGTCTCAAACAGCAAACACTTAAAAATGGAAGGCTAATAACTGATCACTTGTTTATAATTCAAGAATTTAAAATGCAAATGCACAGGTAGGTCAGTCCCTTTACTTTTTGCTTTGCATACGGTAACACAGTAATTTAACAATAAAAAACTTCCTGTTCTTGTGTCAAAAAAAATGGAAGGCTAGATCCCACTGATAATACCAAAAAAAAAAAAAAAAATCAGGAATAAGTATTTAAGATACTTGAAGAAAACTTCAAAAATGCTGGTAAGGGGGGGTGCCTGGGTGGCTTGGTCGGTTAAGCGTCTGACTTTGGCTCAGGTCATGATTTCACAGTCTGTGGTTTTGAGCTTCACATCAGGCTCTGTACTGACAGCACAGAGCCTGGAGCCTGCTTCAGATTCTGTGTCTCGCTCTCTCTCTGCCCCTCCCCTGCTTGCTCTCTGTCTCTCAAAATAAAATAAAGACATAAAAAAAATTTTTTTTAAATGCTGGTAAGGGAGGGACGTCTGGATGACTCTGTTGTTTAAGTGTCCAACTCTTGATTTTGGCTCAAGTCATGATTCTAGTGTCATAGGATGGAGCCCCGTGTTGGGCTCTGCACTAAGTGTGGAACCTGCTTGGGATTCATTCTCTCTCTGTCTCTAATTCTCCCTCCCTTTCTGTCCCTCCCTCCCTCCCTCTCATCCCCTCTCTCCTGCTTGTGCATTCTCTCTCTCTAAAAATAAATAAAATGAAAAACATTGTTTTTTAATTCTGGTAAGGGATATTAGAAAAAGACAACTCTTGGGGAGCCTGGATGGCTCAGTTGGTTAAGCGTCCGACTTCGGCTTAGGTCATGATCAGACGGTTCGTGGGTTTGAGTCCCGGGTCGGGCTCTGTGCTGACGGCTAGCTCAGAGCCTGGAACCTGTTTCAGATTCTGTGTCTCCCTCTGTGTCTGACCTTCCCCTGCTCACGCTGCCATCTCTCTCTCTCAGAAGAAAAAAAAGACAGCTCTTACTCTGTTGTTGGAAGACTTGTAATTTAACTTTATTTTAATGTTTATTTATTTTGGGGGGAGAGAGAGAAAGAATGAGCGAGGGAGGGGCAGAGCGAGAGAGGGACACAGAATCTGAAGCAGACTCTAGGCTTCGAGCTATCACTACAGAGCCTGAAGCGGGGCTCCAACTCATGAGTCATGAGATCATGACTTGAGCCGAAGTCGAACTCTTAACCGACTGAGCCATCCAGTTGCACCGATACATTTTTTTATAGTGTTAACTTCAGATTGAAGCTTGCAAACCTCCATAAAAGATGAGGGAAAAAAGAAAATGAACACTTTTATACCTTTCACCTATTGTTAACATTTAGCCAGTTTGCTTTTCACCACATGCTCATGTGTATGTGATATACCTGTACTTTTTTTGTTTGTTTGTTTTGGTGAAGTATTTTATTTTATTTCTTAATGCTTATTACTGATTCAGAGAGACCGCGACAGAGCATGAGCAAGGGAGGGGCAGAGAGACAGGAGACATGGATCTGAAGCAGGTTCCAGGCTCTGAGCTGTCAGCACAGGGCCTGAAGCAGGACTCAAATTCACAAACCATGAGATCATGACCTTAGCCAACGTCAGACACTTAACCGACTGAGCCAGCGAGGTGCCCCTTTGGTGAAGTATGTATGTATTTATTTATGAGAGAGAGAGAGAGAGAGAGAGAGAGCGCGAGCACGAGGATGAGTAGGGGAGGGTCAGAGAGAGAGGGAGACACAGATTCCGAAACAAGCTCCAGGCTCTGAGCTAGCTGTCACTACAGAGCCCAACACAGGGCTCGAACCCACAAACCGTGAGATCGTGACCTGAGCTGAAGCCGGACGTTTAACTGACTGAGCCACCCAGGCGCCCTATGATTAAGTATTTTAAAGTTAGTTGTAGACCTAACAACAGTTCACACCTAAGTACTTTCTGAGAATGAGAAAGTACCTATGCCCAGTCCCTTTTAGCACACCTTTAACAATAATGTATATTATCTCCTATCTAGTCTGTTCATATTCCATTTTTCCCACTTGGACTAAAGATGTTCTTTATTGCTTTTGGTTGGTGTTGTTAAACCTAAGAGCCCATCAAAGATTGTTTCATTTGGTTGTCATGTGTCTTGAGACTCCTTTCCAGAATAGTTTCTCCACCTTTCTTGATGTGAACAACCTGAAGAGTCTAATAAGCAGGTTTGAGAATTTCTCTCCTTTTTCCCCCTCGTGATTATATGCAGGTTAAATATTTTTGTAAGATTAGGGGCACCTGGGTGGCTCAATCGGTTGAGCGTCCGACTTCGGCTCTGTGATGACGGCTAGCTCAGAGCCTGGAGCCTGTTTTAGATTCTGTGTCTCCCTCTCTCTCTGACCCTCCCCTGCTCATGCTCTGTCTCTCTCTCAGTAATAAATTTTTAAAAATTTTTTTAAAAAATAATAAAACATAAATATTTTTGTAAGATTAATATCCAGGTGACATTGTTACTTCCTGTCACAGCACATCTGGTTAACAATTTTAGGAAGTCTACCCTCAGCTGCTAAATTTCAGATAGAGTCTTCCAGATCAAAAATACTCTCTTTAGATACCTTCATTTCTCAAATGTTTCCTGCTTTCCAGACCCGCAAAACAGCTAGTTGGCTGGCAGCAGAGCTCTCCAAAGAAGGCCACCAGGTGGCTCTGCTGAGCGGCGAAATGATGGTGGAGCAGAGGGCTGCCGTGATCGAGCGCTTCCGCGAGGGCAAAGAGAAGGTGCTGGTGACCACCAACGTGTGTGCCCGCGGTGAGCAGAGAACGTGCCCGTTCGCCGGGTTCCGGGTGGCAAGAGCAATCCTCCTCTCCTCTCCTCAGATGGTTCGGGGGAGGGCAGCTGGTGTTGGTGCTAACACTGTTTTCTGGGAGAGGCTGGATGCCCCCAGCAGATAGGAGCTCACAGAAGCCAGGAGTCCTGCTGTGGTGGAAGGAAACAGGCAGTGACTGGTCCAGAGTGACTGGCGCCTGCTCTCCTGGGCCCATCCCTCCCCCCCCGGGAGGTTTCAGCTGCATCTCCAGACACTCGTATCTACCAGAGGCCCTTCTAGTGATGTCGTAATTTTGTTAGCACCTGCCGGAGTTCTGTCTTTCCCTCTGGATTCTGCTGCGTGCCCCGGGTCCCCGAATCCCAGAGCTGGCCTGCCCCAGACTCTTCCCTGCACCTGATGCTGGTGTGTGCCGGCCTCGCTTGCTTGGCAGTGGGTTTCGTCTCCCGTCCTGACTCCACTTCTCTTTCGTGCAGGTATTGATGTTGAACAGGTATCTGTCGTCATCAACTTTGACCTTCCCGTGGACAAGGATGGGAACCCGGACAACGAGACCTACCTGCACCGGATCGGGCGCACGGGCCGCTTTGGCAAGAGGGGCCTGGCAGTGAACATGGTCGACAGCAAACACAGCATGAACATCCTGAACAGAATCCAGGAGCATTTTAGTGAGTGCCTGGGAGTGCCCCCCTCCCCCCCCCCCCCCCCCCCCGGGCCAGGGCCCTTTCCTTAGAGGGGCAGGTCCAAGGGAGAGGGGAGGAAGGGTAGGTTCTCCTGGGGCCCCCTCGAGAGGCCTTCTTCCTTGTCACGTCCCCCTCCTTGCCTACACTATGGAAGTTCTCAGAGAGCACACCTGGTGAGTTCGGGTCAGGGACTCGAATGAGAGTTTCCCCTTGGCCAGGCTTGAAGGGCCTAGGGCTCTGTCCCACGCTCGGGCACCGGAAGCCTCTGGGGTTATGTGAAAGTTGGCTGTGGCCAGAGGCACGGCATGTGGGCAGAAAGCTGTGTGTCCCCTCCTTCGCTGCTGTGCTGACCCTTTCCTAGATGTGTGTCTCCCTGGTAGCCCCATGTTGATGCCTATATGAATTTTTTTTCCAGATAAGAAAATAGAAAGATTGGACACGGATGATTTGGATGAGATTGAGAAAATAGCCAACTGAGAAGCTCCATCAGTCACCAGTGCCCACCCCCGGTGCTCCCCCTGCACGGGAGACTAGTGCTTTCACGGCACAGGCCTCGACAGTCACTATAAAGACAAAGGCAGAAGAGAGAGAAACTACCTACCTCATTTTAAATTATGTTTGGACTTGACAAAATGATTGGGGAAGGTAGAAGGAAAATTTTGCATTTTGGAAAATTTAGTTCTCTCCCCACACCTCCCCCCCTGCCTCCCCCCCCTGCCCTTTTAAACCATGGTTTTCCCACCTTATAATAATCTGGTCGCTGTTGATAATGGCTGAGCCTAGGACTCCCTGCTTGCTGCTTGTTTTGTTGTGGGGGGTTAGGATGTATTTCCAGCCCCTGAAGAAATGGTCGGTGTAGGTGCAGGAGAGGCTCAGCAGTACAGGCACGGAGGCCCCACTGCATGGATGGAGTGTGGGGAGCAGCAGCAGGAAGACCTGGGAGCTTTCCCCCTTCTCTGTCCCTGACCGGACACCAGCCACCAGTGTCTCCGGCCCTTGAGGCTGTTTTCCTTCTCTTAAATCCAGAGATGTTCCGGCTGACCCCTTTTACCCCTGTTCTCAGTGCCAGGATGTCCCTGTTTCTCTCTGGGTGAGCACACTGGCTACTTTTGTAAACCTCTGATTTGAAACAATCTTCAGGGGATTTGGTCTGGCAGGGGTAGATGAATCCTTTGAGAATCTGGGACTTCCTTTTCCTGCGGTTGCTGTGTCTGCTCAGGCACTGGGAGTCCGTCATGGCAGCCGGGGGGAGACTGGGTGAGTTTCTGACACACAACTGGCCAAGTGAGTTGGCTCTTTTCTGTGAGTGTCACACTATGCCTGGAGATGAGCAGCAGAATTTGGAAAGGAAGTTATGACCAACTTAAAACTCTGTGCTCTTTCTTTAATCATAATGGTGGACCTATTGGTTACTTTAATTCATACATCACATATATGAGTAGGGACAGAGAAATTCGAGCTATACCCATCATTATGTTAAGAAATTTTAAAGTAATTATGAAAGGCTTTGCTAATCATGATTTGTTTTTATTTGTTTTTTTTCTGCTTAATACACTAATATATACTCATTAAAAAAGGTGTGTGTGTGTGTGTGTATGTATGTCTGTGTGTGTATACACATATATAAAGTGTGAGTGCTCTCTGTCTCCACCTCTCTGGAACCCCCATTGCTAGCATATTGGTCAACATTCAATTATTTCCTTCTTTTTTTGCATATCCACTTAAAAAAAATTTTTTTAACATTTATTTATTTTTGAGAGACAGAGCATGAGTGGGAGAAGGGCAGAGAGAGAGGAAGACACAGAATCGAAAGCAGGCTCCAGGCTGTGAGCTGTCAGCTGAGAGCCCAGCACAGGGCTTGAACCCACAAATTGTGAGATCATGACCTGGGCTGAAGTCGGACATTTAACTGAATGAGCCACCCAGACGCCCCATCTTTTTTTTTTTTTTTTAATGTTTTTTTAAGAGAGAGCCTGAGTGCAGGTGGGGGAGGGGCAGAGAGAGAGAATCCCAAGCAGGCTCTGCACTATCAGCACAGCCTGATGCAGGGCTTGATCCCACGAACCATGAGATCATGACCTCAGCTTAAATCAAGAGTCAGACACTTATCTGACTCAGCCACCCAGGTGCCCATATCCACTTCTCTTCTACAAAAATGTGAGCATTCTATTTAGGCTCTTGTGCAGCCTGCCTCTTCACTTACCCGTATATGTTGGACATGTGACATGTGCTGCAAACAGATCTATCTAACTCGACGATGGTGTCATTAAGCATTAGCTGCCCTGGCATTTATTTCCTGGCTTCTCTAGTGACAGGCATGGCAGGCTTCCACCATGTTGTGCTGCCACGGTGCCACAGTGCCCAGCCTCGCTCACCTCTGCCTTGTGAAAGTTGCTGGGTCACCTATTTTCTTCCCTGCTTGTCAGTCCTCCGTATTCTCAGTTTTTACAAATTTGCCAGTCTGAATAGCAAAAAGAAATTACATTGTTGCTTTTTGTTGCTTTGTATTTAGTGAGGATTGACAAACGTTCAGTTTCTTGGGTATTTATCTTTTGGATTTGCCTGCTCTTGCCTCGTCATTTTACTATCAGACTGTCAATCCTTAATGATTTTAAGCCACCACTATTTTAAGAAAATTAGACGTTTATCATGAGTGGTGGATATTTTCCTAGTTTGTCTTTACAAACTCCTTTTTTCCTAATTTTACATGAAAATTTAATGTTCCTCAGATTCCATTTTTAAGAAACTTGGATTTCTTGTTATGGCTAGAAGAGCTTTCCTTATCCCAGGAACATAAATCCCAATTTATCCTATACTCATCCTGGTATTATTAATTATTTATTCATGTTTCCTGTAGTGGCAGTAAATGTTCTAAGTTCTTGTAAATCTTTAACTGTTTTCCCCTGCTTGCTGCCAAGTGATTATGGTTGCCTCAAGAGCAAGCGGGTGGCAGAGCTGTGAGTGTGGGCTGGCGTCCTCGCTGCTGAGGGGGTGAGAGTATGAAGGGCCCGTTAGGAGTGGATGTAAGTGAATGAAAGGCTTGGTGTCGCCAGGCGCAGGCGCAAGAGTGATTTTGAGTGTGTGAGGGGCAGATGCAAGCTGGGGTTCAGAGAAGAAATGTTCAGAGAAGGGGAGCAAGGTTCCTTAGAGGTAGGGGACGAGTATTGGGGGAAGAGGTACTCAAGGGAGACAGGGCAAGGGAAGGAGGGAGGGGGGCGAGGTGGAGGAGTCCAGGTGGAGCACCGGTGTTCCAGTTAAGTGATGCCCACTTTGGCCCCCAAACAACAGTGATCTAGAAAAGGTAAAAGCCAGAGAACAAAGTACACTTGTCTGACCTAAAAACAAGATGAATACTTCTGTGGACCAGCACAGGGGTAAAAATGCAAAGTGGTGGGTGAGGCAGGGGTGAAGCCAAGAGCTTGCTGTGCTCCAGTGTAGAAACAAGCTACTGTCTGTCAGGGCCTGTGGAGTAGAGGGTACTGAAAGCACCACATGCAACACTGGAGCCAAAGTCAGGTTCACTGCTGGGAGGTAGCTGGACCGGGACCTGGCCTGCACGCCCGCCGGATGGGAGACTTATTAGAAACCAGACCGAGGAAGATGGCGGGAGGACTTGGACCACCCACCTACCCCCAACGTAGAACAGATAGTTGACACAATCCTGTTGACTCTGCCTGCTCTGTGATATCCCCAGATTACTGAATGTCAGCAGACCTGATTCTAGAATAAAGACCAAAGGGGCAAGAACTGGGTGGGGCCAACTGCTAAACCTACCTGTGGATTGTCAGGGAGAAGAAATTTATGCTAAGAAAGAGCGCAAACAGTATCAAAATAGATTCACCCCAGGTGAAACTACTTCTGTGGAATACCCTGATAAAAGACTTTATGTTTGAAGACTCAAAGAGAAAGAATACATAACACTAAAAAAGAGCATGAAATTAAGTAAATTTAGAGGCACCTAGGTGGCTCAGTTGATTAAGTGTCCGACTTCAGGTCAGGTCATCATCTTGCTGTTTGTGAGTTCAAGCCCTGTATCAGGCACTGTGCTGAGCGCCCAGAGCCTGGAGCCTGCTTTGGAGTCTGTTTCTTTATCTTTTCCCTGCCCACCCTCTCTCAAAAATAAATAAACATTTTTTAAAAAGTAAATTTAGACAAAAACAGTGGCACGCTGAAACTCACACAATTTGAAACTGGCCATTTTGGGTGTGTTTACCAGAGAAATCAAATAATACAAATTGGTTGGGTTGCATGGCTGGCTCAGTTAAGTAGAGCCTGCGACTCTTAATCTCAGAGTCCTGAGTTCAAGCCCCATATTGAGCATGGAGCCTACTTAAACAGATCAGGGTTTTATTTGTTCTTAGACAATTCACCAGCACACTACTGGACAGCAATTAAAAAATATTAGAAATTTTAGAAAAGAGGAAGATAGTCATTGAGATAAACTCAGTAAATGGGAATCCTATATTTAAAATTCTAATTATATTGGGGCATCTGGGTGGCTCAGTTGGTTAGGAGTCCAACTCTTGATTTTAGCTCAGGACATGATCTTAGGGTTGTGGGATCGAGCCCTGGGTTGGGCTCTACACTAAGCGTGAAGCCTACTAAGATTCTCTCTCTCTCTCTCTCTCTCTCTCTTTCTCTCTCTCTCTCCACCCCCCCCAGTCTACCCATCTCCCCCACTTGTGTTCTCACTCTGTAAAAAAAAAAAAAAATTTAACTTAAAAAAATATATATATTTAAAAAATATATATATATATATATGTATACACTCTTGGGGACACCTGGCTGGCTCAGCTGGTGGAACACTCAGCTTGTAGTCTCAGGGTCATGAGTTCAAGCCCCACATTGGGTGTAGAGATTATTTAAAAATAAAGTCCTAAAAAAGTAAAAAAAATCCTAATTATACGCCCATTTTAAAGCAAGAATAAAAACAAACCAATTTTTCATTAGGTTCACATAATAAAATGATTTTTCTTTAGAGTCTAGCATGGAAGTCTAAAGGAAGACCACAGAGGTAAATTTTCATTTTCATCACATTATACCAAAGGCACATATAATCAGTATGACATCAGTGTCAGCAAGGTCGCTGATGTTGACCTCAATGACCTGGCTGAGGTAGTGTGTGTCAGGTTTTTCCACTGTAAAATTACTCTTTCTCCCCCCTTTCCATACCTTAGTCTTTGAAAGGAAGTCACTATGCACATCTAAGGAGTGGGGAGCATGACCCACCCCCCCCTTGAGGTCAGAGTAGCTACATAAATTATTTGGAATTCTACATGGGAGATTTGTCTCTTCCCCATTTATTAATTTATTGAATCATGTATTTATATAAGTATAGACTGGTGATGTTAATCTTGATCATATGGTTAAGGTGACTTTGATTTTTTTTTTTTAATGTTTTATTTATTTCTAGGAGAGAGAGAGACAGCGTGAGCAGGGGAGGGTCAGAGAGAGAGGGAGTCACAGACCGAAACAGGCTCCAGGCTCTGAGCTGGCAGTCAGCACAGAGCCCGACGCGGGGCTCGAACCCACGAACCGCGAGATCATGACCTAAGCGAAAGTCGGACGCTTAACCGACTAAGCCACCCAGGCGCCCCAAGGTGACTTTGATATTTAAAAAATTTTTTTTGATGTATGCTCGTCTTAAAGTTTAGTTATTCTTCATAGCAAAGAAAGCTGAGATTCCAGACCCTTCCCTTGAATGGTCTTCATTGTGATGGTTCATGCTTCATGGAAATGGGTTTCATAGGAAGAGCTCTGGAGACAAAGCCTCAGAGACTAGAACAGTAGTCCAAAGGGGGCAGGGTTTCCTTTCCTTCTATGGTTCCCTTTACCCATTGTATGACAGGTTATAAATACAAATGAAATATTGCAGGAAGTCCTTCCATGTTTTACTTTATGTAATTTTGAAATGTTTGAATTATTTTTGTAATGAATATTATTTTTTAATGTAAAAAAAAGACAAAGCGGAATATATAGCAAAGGGAGGATTAAACTCCGATCCCTCTGAATGCAGACACCATATGTTCTCTCTGCCTTCTCCCTGGAGAGAAACGAAGCTGCCAGAAAGAGCCTGTATTATGCTCAGGAAGAGAATCAGTTGTTAGATGAAAGGTGTTAATTCTGTATTCTCAGAGGAACAGCCTGGCCCTGATATCCATGGTTCAGCAAGAGTGGGAGGAGGGAGGAAGATTGCATCTTCTTGCAGTTTTGTGGGTTAGTTGTCACCCAGGCATAAACTTGCTGCAGAAGCTGTGATTTTTCTGGAAGGGCAGTGAGAGGGAGCACTGATTCCTAAATCACACTCAGAAAAGAATGTTTTCATTTTCATTTTTCCCCCAGTGTTTTGATTTTTTAATAGTTTTAAGATCTGATCTTTTCCCTCACCTAGCAAGGATGGATATTTTCTAACCCTGCCAAACAAGTCACAGGAAGGAGCTCCTAGCCTGCTGAATGGCACCCGTGATGGGTAAAATACTTAACCCCTTCCTTCCTGTCCCAGGCATCCATCCACCCCTGTCCAGGCCATAAATCCAGCCACTTCTCTCCAAAGAGCCCTCTGTTATAGACTGTATTATTG